CGGGTTGTAGCACGTGGCGAATAACCCTGACCAGTTCTTCCCTTTCTTTTCGATCCGTTGACCCTTGTCAACATGCAGGAACGAATAAACCGATATCTTATTATCAAACTTCAAGGAATAAAAAAAACTAATGACTGGAAAATTATACTATGATTGTGGTACAGTACAATATTTTTTTTAATATACTGTATATATATTAAAAAAACAATTACACAAAAGATGATTCTAATAATTCATCTAGGTGTTAATGTTAGAGTGTCCAGACTTATGCGATTTTGGGGATTTTTCATTGTTCAAACAATGAAAAATCCCTGAAATCGCATAAGTCTGGACACTCTAGTTAATGTCTTAAAATATTACTGTATTACAATTCATAAAATATTACTGTATTACAATTCATAATCACAGTATCTTATAAATTTTTTAATTGCCAATTTCTGTGTAACCGAAATGCCAAACAGAAAGTTAATAAACTTTGGATTTTTGCATGGTGCAGAAAGATTTTCATAATATTTTGTGCTATTGTGCTCTATCCTTTAGCGTTAATAATACGTTAATAATACGTTAATAATACAGTAATACTGTAATAAGTACTAACACGTATATATGAAACTATTTATAGTTAGATTCGTTATTTGTTTTTGTTACTTTTAAAAGAAACGTTGATACGTGGATCGAATGTTTGATCGTGGTACAGTTAATTGCCACTTGGCGCGGAATGATTGGCTGATATGTAAATTTGAAGATTGATATGTTGGCGACGGACAAGTTGTAAGCCACGAAAAAAAAATTTTATCTTGATAAAATAATTGAACTTGAACGATTATATCGAGAAAAAATAAAATGTCTGTTCGAATATTAATGACATTATCATTTGTACTATTAATATTACCTTTTTTATTTTCGTGTCTTGTTTCGGCTATTAATCAAAATCAAAATGATATAACTAAAGAAATAAAAAAGAAATATAATTATAAACATACCTTTAAGCACCCATATTATTACAATCACACTGTACCATTCTTTGACACGTATGGGCGTAAGTTCTTCTTTCTTATTTATTTATTCAAAGTCGTGAATTTATTTCCTTCATATTTATATATCGTCTGAACAAATCGTAGATACTTTACTTGCGCCCGAATTCATTAGATTAGCACCTAGTGTACCAAAGCATTCTGGGTCAATATGGGCTCAGTCACCAAATCCTCATAAAGAATGGGAGGTGGAATTTTCTTTTAGAATTTCAGGGAATTACTTTCTTGGTGGTCGAGGAATGGCATTTTGGTATACAAAAGAACAAAGTAAAGAAGGTTCGTTGTTCGGGTGTAGTGATAAATGGGATGGGTTGGCGATTTTTTTCGAAACTGTGGATCATGTTAGAAAGGTGAATTATTTCATGCATATATATATGCTGGCTAATTGTATATATATATATATATATATATTTAGTACACTTTCTAAGTTATCATTCGTATATTTCGAATAGCGTGATAATCCTTATATAATGGCACATGTCAATGATGGCTCTATTTCCTATAACAGCATCATGGATCCTTTTGCTGTTAAAATGGCTGGCTGTTACCGAATGCTTCGTAATACTCAAGAGCCAATATTTGCAAAAGTTACTTACTATAATAATACTCTAAAGGTAATTTTTATTTAATTTTCATATTATTTTATTTAATTATTCTAGAATTATTGGATTTAATATATCTATATATTTTTGGTAGATGATGGTTGATACCAATGATGGAGGCGAGTCTTACAACGTTTGCTTTTCAAAGTATGGGGTGTCTTTACCACCAGGATATTATTTCGGAATTTCGGTGAGTCACATAAATAACGTCAAATATTTCAGTGACCGTTTCTAAATTCTTGTATACCATTTAACACATACGTATGTCGGCAGGCTTCTGCAGAAGGGGTTACACCAGGTACTACAAAAACTACAAAAATGATAATGGGATATTATGATTAAAATTTCTTGATTGATATTTATTACATTTATTATTATAATTTATATGATCAGATGATCATGATATTCTTTCCTTCGAGACATATGAATTAAATCCTATTGAAAAAAGTGATGTAAGTCATTATTTTTCTTTTTTTATTTCATATTTTTATTTTATATTTTGTGATATACATTTTTAAACATGTTACAAATATAGAGACCTTTACGTCCTCATGAAGCTGAAAAAGTAGCAAAAGCACCATCAGAACCATTCGAGATACCAGAAAATGTTAAACAGGTAAAAAAAAAAAAAAAAAGAGGGGGACGACAAAAAACTAAATTAAATTTAATATTAGAATATTAAATTTACACATCCATTTGTATCATCAGCGAATTGAAAACATTCAAAAGATAGTATCAAAATCGGAAGATTCGCGAGATATGCGTGAAAAGGGAAAAGGAGATCCAAGAAATCTTGATTTTATAAGAGGAATGCAAATCAAGATACTTGAATCACTTGATAATGTACATGAACAATTACGTATCTTAGGTGTTAGTCCGAAAAGTAATGATAATTATTATAGTGACACAAGCAAGACAGAAGGTCAACTGGTCGCTGTTTCGTAAGTTCTAAGCTCAAGAGACACTTGTCAGTACGTAAATGTTCTTCTGGTTTTATGAACTTGTTCCTAAATATACCTGATTGTTTTGTTCTGTTTTCAAATATAGACAAAAATTGGATAAAATTATTTCAAGTATCTCATCCCTAGAAGCAAGAATATCTCGAATTCCTTTAGATGGAGGTAATGATCATGCAATTAGGGATTTGAAAGAAGATGTGCAACGCATAGCAAGCAAAATTGAATCTTTAGACGTGAGTTGTTTATTTCACTTTATTTTACTAATTCATTCATTGAAATATTCATTGAAAAATTCATTGAATATATTAATTAGACTCGAATCGCTGGGCAATTCTATCAGACACAAAGAAGTTTTCATGATGCTGCTAAACTTCGAGATAAAGATTCATCAACTACGTCAATATGGATATATTTAATTTACTTTACTTTATTTGCAATTATAACCATTGGTGCATATATATTATACCAAACAAAAATGGAATTAGATCAAAAGAAGTTTATTTGAGTGTTACAATTTATAAAATTTAGCTTACAAGATTTAAAATGATTTATATGGCAATAATAATTTGATCGCAAAAAGATAGATGTTGGATACATTCATTCTTTTTTTTTTTTTTTTTTTTTATTACGCCAATAGACGATGAACCATTAATGAGAACAAATATCGTTTTTATAAGTTACATTACATGATAGTTATAAATGTATTTAGTTAAAGAAATTTTGATATTTATTAATCGCTGCCAATTTTTTTTAAGTTTTCCATTTTGGTTGTTTCGACTGGTGATCTATTATTTGCAAGGTTTACAAGGAAAAAATTAGCATGAATAGTAAAAGTAATATGTAAATTGTTGAAAAAAAATTTTTTTTTACCCGATAAATATCAATTCTTTAAGAGTGGTCGTCTCTTCATCTCCTATATTATCCCCAAT